GTGATGTTTTGCAGAGGTACTATTCTAGTGCTTATAGACTTGTGCAGTATTTTGGAACATTTACCACACAACCACCAGAATGGCAGAGGAAGTTATTGCATTGTTCCTTATGCTGAATTCACAGGCTGGTGAAGCACCCCCCTCCCAGCTTTACTTCTAAAAGACTCGGGGTCTGTATTATTTTTACACCCAGCTATGTTTCTAATTAACCTTGTTAGTTGTGAGATAGTCCACCAGATGTCAGATTCTTTATAAAAAAACAATTCAATCCATCATTTTTACTTGTTTACACTCATATACATAAGCTATAAAAGTCTAAATATAAGATCCTGCCAGTACAGCGTTTTGAAAGCAGACTACAGAGCATCACACCAGCATCTTTGTGAGAGTCTGCTAATTAACTTCCATATCAGATGGCAATGAATGAAGTGGTGTGTAAATGTGTAAATTGGGCAAGGAAAGAAAGTGTCGTTTGTAGCTCAGGAGTTGAAAGTTGAGCACACACCTCTGCTGTGCTTTAATGATCAGCAGAATCCCCCAAATAGCATCTTCTTGTAAACCAAATGCGTCAGAGTCAGATGGCTGCGTTTACCATAGAACCACAAATTATTTGTTTCATTACCTTCTGATTTGCTTCCCCCACTTTGGTATCGCTCTGGCTGCACCTATTAGCAAATAGCTGATCCTCCTCAGGAGGAAAATAAAGACAATTACGAATTATGGTCCGACAGTTTGTTTACAGCTTCTGGATTATGCTGCATAAGCTGTTTGGGGAAATGTGATGGACATTTTTCCTTATTTTGGCACATATAATGATGTCTCATTTAGTCTGGAAAGAAGCCCTGACAAACTCTCAGTAGAGCCTATACTGATAAATGGTTTGGGGACTATATGCAGCATGGAAGAGCTATCTCTTTATGACAAGCTGTTAACTTTGCATTACAGAATTTAAAGGTAAATCAGAAAACCGATGAAGTTCAGCCTCTTGTTGGTGATTTCATCTAATTCCACAGAATAGTGTTTCTCCAATAAAACTAAAAACATGCTTTAAATACAAAGTTTGTTGGCCACCAGAGGACCAAACTTTAAAAGTTTATGTTTTTCTGTGACAGAGCTATTTTACATCACATTAAACGTTTGATTTGCGAGGTATTTGCAGATTCTATATGAAGGGCCTTGCTGTAGGCGTTTGTGGTATCAGACGGTATCAGATGCTGTGACTCATCTAATTTGTGCTGCTTCATTATTGATGGACGGCTGGCATGAAGCAGCTGTGGGGCAATAAAAATTAAAAATTAGCTTACAGGTTTCTCAATTCAGGATTTAGGCGCTGTATGATATATGGACAGGATCATGGAGGACATCAAAGTGAAATACAGTCTACAGTGCAATACATTTCCATTTCATGTTCTTGAAAGAGAATACAAAAACACAGGCCGAGGAACTAAAATGACAAAGAAAACCTGTATTGATGACCTTCTTTCACTGTGATATATTTTAAGAGAAATTATGTCATAAAATTTAAGCTTCATTTATGTTTGACATTATAAGTGGAATACACCTTTTGTAACAAAAAAAAACCTTGATGTCTTGCCAATTTAATTTCTAGGAGAAGCTTATAGTATATTGAAAGCCATCAAATGTTCGGTCGTGGGAACAATTTGAAATCCATTGTCAGTGAAGGTGAATGTTTAAGACCATCAGGGAACCATAAACCTGCATAAGATGTAATATGCAGTGTTTAAATTTAAAAAGAAAAAAAGCAGGGCATGAAATACCGCTGCAATATATTGTAACAACAGTGCATTGCCCAGGTGGCATTAGTATGAGAAAGTTAGGACAGTAGTAATAAATCTTCAAAATGAATGCTCTGAGCAGCTTTGTTTAATAAAAACAGCAAATTATAAGGAGAAAGCTTTTTTTTTTTAAAAAAATTCATTGATATAAGCTACTTCATGGAGGAAATATTAAAGATGATGAGTACAATATCTTCAAACCATTGTTTCATTACCCACAGCTGTAAGCTGCTCAGCTGTTCAAACAGAATTGGATTGAATGAATTCAATCCAATGATCAGCCATCAAAGAAGCAAGACTATGATTCAATGCACCGTGTGGGTGATGAAGGGCAGATCTAAAGTTCACCTGAATTATAAAGTCCATTTGAGAGACATAAAGCAACACTTTATCACCGTCCTTTCCTTCAGACCACAGTGCTGTCCTTCAGATAATTATCTGGGATATTTTTCACCTTGCCCCTCTTTCTTGTTACACTGTCCTGAAAGATAATTATCCTTCACATATTTTTGGATTTGAATCCTACTGAGTAAAAAGGACAGGCTAAACAGTCTAAAGA